GTAGCATTTACATGCTATCTTCTTCGAGCCCTTTTCTTTCTTTTTTTTTTTCTCTTTTCTTCTTTTTTACTCATCAGTTAAGAACTCTTGTAGAGGACCAGGGTTTGATTTCAACACCCACATGTGACTCACAGCAGTCTGTAACTCCAGTGCTAGGGTATTTGATACGTTCTTTTGTCCCTTTCGGTACCAGGCACAAATGTGAAGCAGATACATACATGCAGGCAAAACACCCATGCAGATATAAAGTAAGTATTTGAAAAATAAATAAATATTAAAAACAAACATCTTTGCAAGTTCCTGATTTTAATCATCTTAGGTTGACAGCCAGAGGTAGAATTTCTAGTTCCTAAGATTAGCTGTCACTTAAGGGGCTTATTTAACTCATTCACGTTCAGAGATTATGAATGGCTCTGCCTTATATTCCTTCCACTTTAATTTGTATATTTTAAATTTTTATTATTATTGGTGTATGTGTGTGTGTGGTGTGGACATGTCTATTGCACACATGTGGAGGTCACAGGGCAGGTTTATGCAGTTGGTTCTCTTCTTTACCTGTGGGTATTTTCCATGGATCGAACCCAGGTCAGTGGGCAGCTAGACCTCTATGTACTGGGCCCATCTCATTGGCCTCTCTTGTTCACATATTATACTCATGTATTTATTGGTATATTCAATAAACATTTTCTTCACTCTCTTACTCTGGGAAACAGGATCTTTGGAGACAGCAGATGAGTTTTGGTTGTAACCATGGTGATGCGATGGCCAGCCCAAGTGCACCTTTAGATACAGTATCTGAAAGGGACATGTTTCCAAGTCCTCAAAGGCAGACTTTGACAAAGCTTTCTGATTAGTGGCTGCCATTTGCACTAGGTAGGAGTCAGCTTGACTTTGATTTGTAGCTCCTCCCTTCACATTTACTTGCTGTATGGGTTTGAGTATTTAATTAGCTTCTGTGCCTGCTAATGTCCTCATCTGTGATTGAATGTCAATCATCTATGATTGAAGAGCTAGCTCACCTGGAACGGGAAAGCATTGCTCCCACGAGTCTAGGCTGAGAGAAGGGTCTGAGCCACGTCTATAATATATATACAATAATAACATGTATCTCCTTTGGTTTGTGGCTTCTTCCTTTTCAGAGCTGGGGTCTGGTTGGTATGCAGAAGGCATGTGAGCTATGTAATCTGCTTGTCATCCTGAGAGGAGGCAAGTGGAAAGCCATTGGTTGAAGTACATCCGGAGGCCCGAGGTGGGCCTTGGAATTCCTAGATAAGGAGGTGCTAAGCGGTCTGCAGGCTTCTGCTGCTGGAGAGGTAGCAGCATGGTGGCTTTGAGGGCCACCAAATAAGGAAGGACATCATTTTTCTCCCCCTTATCTGTGTGCATGCCAGTGAGCAGAGCTCCTTGCCTCATTCATGACAGCATCCCCAAACATGGTTGGGAAGGGACCTAGGTGCCCAGCAAGGAAACAAACAAACACTCCTTTGCTTTTTTTCATATAACCTCTCCCCTTTCCTTTCCTACCTCCTCCTTCTGTTGACATATGTCATTTACCTAGAAAAGAGGACAGCTGTCCTTTCCCAAAGCTCCGCTGACCCTGCCCCACCCAGTATGACTGGCCCAGGTTGGTGATTTTGATCTGTTGCCAACCTAAACTGGCTCCCCCGGAGCCATTTGGTAGATTTCCAGGGGCCAGTTCCTTGCCAACATTCCTTTTCAGTGAGAGGACATTTTTTCATCTCTGATAAACAACCTGGGCCTGACACAGTTGAGAGGGGGGCCTGGCTCTCCTCGCTGCTCCTCCACTTAGTCCACTGAAGATCCATCAGAAGATCCGATCCCTGAGGCACCAGTGGCTCTGTGAATTCCTTTGTGAAACCCAAGATCCTTGTCTCTATAAGAGAGCAGAAATCCCCAAGGGGCTTCGGGCTCCCTCCAACCTGAAAGATCAGCTGCTGGTACTAAGAGAGCCTGTGTTTGCAAACTTGCCTTTCTTGGATTCAGTTTAGAAAGCTCAGGTTCCTTTAACGGGAGAGACAGGATCACCTTGCAGATCATACTTGCAATCTAAAGAGGAAAAGGGACAAGCCTGGGGTGGTAGGGGGTGGGGAGTAGTTAAAAGGCTCTGAACCCAGTCATTATTAGAGGATGAATTGCCCTTCCACTTCCCGGGAGGCTGGAAAGCCTCATGTGCCCTCCAAGTGCCAAGCTGGAGGGTTCGAGGTGGGGCACCAGATAATGGATTTCATCACTTGGAAGGCAGAGGCAGGCTGATCTTTGTGAGCTCAAGGCCACCATGGACTGCATAACCAGAGTCTGTCTGATAAAAGGGGCGGTCAGGAGAAAAATAAATAGTAGGAAAGAGGTTGATTGTATAGTTCCTACCTCTCCTGGTGCCCTCCCCTCTATTACCTTCCTTCCTGGACATTTTATTTACTGTTTGGCAGTTTCTTAATATATATTTCTTTAGGCTGGAGAGGTGGCTCTGGTGTTGAGGGTGCTTACCAACCTTTTCAGAGGACCTGGGTTCAGTTTCCAGCATTTACATGGTGGCTCACAACCATCTGTAACTATAGTTTCAAGGGATCTGATGCCCTCTTCTGGACTCCTCAGACACTGCCCATACATAGTTCATACAAACTGACACAGGCACACCCAGATTCACATAAAACAGTGAATTCATACACACATCTTTAAAATATATATTTCCTTTAACCCAATTTGGAAGTGAACTGGTAAGTTCACCTGGTAGAAGCTTAGAAGACTCACCTTTAAAAAAAAAAAGAAAGATGTTGCCAGGCAGTGGTGGTGTATGCCTTTAATCTCAGTACTGGGGAGGCAGGCAGATCTCTGTGAGTTCGAGGTCAGCCTGGTCTATAGAGTGAGTTCTAGGACAGGCTCCAAAGCTGCAGAAAAACCCTGTCTCAAATACCACCCAGGAAGTCATTCTGGTGGGATGAAATGTAGAACCTTCTACACTGGGGATGATGCATGCCGTAGCCTCTGAGGGCTAATGGTCAGATTTTCTCCAGAGTGGTTGTCTCAGTCAGTGTGTGTTGTACAGTCATCAGAATGGTCCTCACACCATTTCCAGCCCCATCGAGTGACAAGAAAACAGGTCATGGGGAAGCTCTTCTGGTCTTATGTGTCTTTTCTCCTAATCGGCTCAGCTGACCTCACGTGGATAGCACAATGCCTGGAGGAGCCTGGTTCTGGGCATTGCTCTGGCTCCATGTAGCCTCTGAGAAAGCGACTGAAGAGCAGGCTGGCTGCCCCCTGGTTTGCCCCTTCCAAAGATCTACGCAGGGACCGTCTTCTCCTCTTCTCTATAGTTTAAACACTCAGTGCCTAGCAGGTGCCAGGACTGCTGTAAGAGCTCAGTGTACAGAGAAACTGATACTCTTGCTTCAGGGGACTTCAGTCTGAGGGTTCCCATCTTATTAAATTTAAAAATTTTTTGAAACATGTAGAAAGTTGAAGGAAGAGCTCAGGCACCATCTTTGCCATTCACTGGCTGTTAGTGATTCTATTTCTCTTCAGTGCCAAGCTCGTGCACTTACTTTTTCCCCACTCCCCTTTTTTTTCTGAAAGTTTAGAGCATGAACCTCATTCCTAAGTGCTCAGAATGCATCTTGGAAGAATAAGATGATTCTCTTCATCGCCAGCAAAGCCATTATCTTGCTCAAGGAAGACTGTCTTTGGTCTGACGGTGATAACACAACTTTAAGCCCAGCACTCTGAAGGCAGAGGCAGGTGAATCATTGAGTTCAAGGCCAGCCTGCTCTACAGAGGGAGTTCCCAGGACAGCCAAGGACACACAGAGAAAGCATGTCTGGAAGAAGAAGAAGAACAACAACAATAATAATAATAAAGAAGATAAAACAAAAAGAAGGGGTATCTTTAGTTCAACCATGCTGTCTATAATGACACCCATAGTTCTTACTGTCCTAAGAACACATTTTTATGACATTTGTGTTTAAGTGACAGAATCTAGCTGAGGCTGGTTCCTTTTAGTCCAGGACAATCTCTCTTGACCATTTCCTATCACAAAGCCTTTTGAAGAACCCAAGTTGTCTATCTGTCTCATGGAATGTACTGCAGTCAGCATTTGTCTGCATGTTGCCTTACTGTCAGATTTTGGTTAGACAGTTTTGCAAGGATTTTACACAATAGCTTATGTTTCTTGTTGCCATACTTTCAGAAAATTGTAATTTTGGGAAATGTGACAAGAATAAGTTAAATAAACACACACTGAGTTGACAATCTGTTTCTGTATGGCCTCTTCAGGAGTTACTTGTTTCAAAATGTGAAATTAGGGGACTGGATGGAACAATATCAAAGTCCCTTTCACCTTCCAAAAAACTAAAACTCAAGAGGAGCAACCATGGATGGAGTGTGGTAGCTCACACATATTCCATGGCAGGAACTTGTAACACGAGTTCTAATAGGTCTTAATCATAAAAGCCCAGAGTCAGATATAAGGAATAATGCTGAGAGATCAGAGAGAAAGAGCAAGCCAGAGCCACCTTTACCTGACTAGCTTTTCAGCGGAAAAAGACCAAGTTTCCATTTCCTCCTGCCCATATACCTTTCTCTACCAGGCCATCTCACTTCCTGTCTGTCTGTATAGACCTCCAGACCTCTATAGTTAGTTACTGGCAAGCTCCACCCTCTGATCTTCAGACATGCTTCATTTGTACAAACAAGATATCACCATTGGAGCTTCAATTTTTTTCTCTACCTTTGACTAACAGAAAACACTGTTGTTGATGGTGATATTGTTTCCTGGTATTAGGTTGAGACAAACAGACAAACTGCCAAGATTTAGGTAAGCCACAAGAAACTTGTGTCACAACACAGTTCTGATGTGTCAGAGGTCTTAGTCCTTGGTATCTTCCTGCTTGCCCTTGAGGATTTCAAAGGGCCTGAGGATAGACAATGCAGAAGAATTTATAGTGAAGATGACTTGTGGCAGTCTCTGTTTTATTAGGAAACTCCAAACTGCACCGAGACACTTTTTTCTTTTTTTTGCAATAATCTTTCTTGAAGCCAGAAATTGCATTTTGAAAACGATTTTCCTCTGCTTTAATAAATGGCTAAAAATATGAAGATGGATTTTCTTTCTATGTTTGCAGTCACAGAAGCATTTATCTCTCATCCCAAGCAGACATCCTATGTAATTGGGTATGTGAAGTAATTCCAAAGTTGCATCAGAATCTTTTCAGAGCGTTGCTATGACGATTGGACTTCTTTTGAAAATATAATTTAAAAAGAAGAAACCCAGCCTTGCTTCATTACCAATTCTCCACCATCCACAATAAATTTGGCCTTTCAAAAAGTGGAGGGGGAATAATTATGCAATCATATTTTAACTGATTGTTCTTGAAGTTGCAATAGATAGTAAAGTCAAGCTTATCACAACCTAAGAATGATGATTCTTATGATTTTTGCATTTCTAAAACTATGAAAATTAGTGAAGAAGCCTAAACAATAACCTAGTGTTTGGAGGAAATATGAATTTTAATAGAAAGTCACAGGCTACCCATCTGACCCTTACCACAAAGAAAAGAGTTTGGCGAGGCAGAGCAGAGACGATAAAGCAGAAGGTTAATCAAAATATCTAATTTTCAGTGTGGCAGTATGCCAGTAATCCCAGCACTCGAGAGAATCAGGCAGGGAGAGCATGAGTTCAAGGCCAGTAGGGACCTTACAGTGAAACTTCTTCGCCTCCTCCTCTTCTTCCTCCTCCTCCCCTCTTCTCTTCTCTTCTTTCCCCTATTCCTCTTCCTCTTTTACTCCTCCTCTTTCTCCAATCTTTGGGGTACTTAGTAAGCCTGGGAACACAAATGTATTTAAAGTAATCACTATGGTTGGTTTGGTTTGGGTCCCAGCTTGAAGTTGATATTTTAATTGCTGTCAATATAAGGTGTGACAGTTAAAAAAAAACTCAGATTGGAGGGCATGGCTATGCTATCCTTTGGGCTGGTGAAAGCCGTATAACCATGTTTCTTTTTTAAAAGCTTTGGAGAACCAGGGTTGCAGTCTATACATTGCAGTTATGGGTATTTATTTCTATTTTTTGATTCTGTGACTTCCAAGGTTTCACTTAAATTTTAAACCTTGTGGTTGTTTGAATAAAAATGGCCCCCACAGGCCCATAGGGAGTGGCACTATTAGGAGATATGGCCTTGTTGGAGTAGGTGTGACCTTGTTGGAGGAAGTGTGTCAAGGGGTGGTGGTGGTGGTGGTGGTGGTGGTGGTGAGTCTCTTCCTGATGCCTACAGGTCCAGATGTAGAGCTCTCAGCTGACTCTCCAGCACCATGCCTGCCTGTGTGCCACCATGTTTTCCACCATGATGGTAATGGACTAAACCTCTCAACTATAAGCCAGTCCCAATTAAATATTTTCCTTTGTAAGAGTTGCTATGACGTTGTGTCTCCTCACAGCAATAAAACCCGACTAAGACAGAAGTTGGTACCAGGAGTGGGGGATTGCTATGATAAGCCTGACCATGGAGGATATGGACTTTGGGACTTTTAGATTAGAAAAGCAACTGAGTGTTTTAAGTGGGGCTTAAGTGACCATCCTAGTAGGAACATGGAAGGCAGTGGGTGCTGAGGGTGGCTTGAACTGTGAGGGGCTGGCTCAAGAGGTTTCAGAGAGAAGAATATTTGTATGTGGCTTAGAGACCATTCTGGTGATGTTTTGGCTAAGAACATGGATAATTTTTGCCTTCATCTGTCAGCGGCTAAATTGAAGAGTTTTGGATTAATGACATTGGCAGAAAAAAATCTCAAAACAGTTTAGTATTGACTCTGTCATGAGGCTATTAATGTTCTCTCTTATGCAGACCTAAAAATGGAGTAAGCTGAGCAAGAAAAAACACAAAATGTACATCTTGAGGAAGAAAGGGACACCTATGGATAACTCCTGTGTTCAAGGAGATAGGCAGATTAAAGAAAAGTCTGATGTTAAATGTAATAAAGGGAGTGGTGACTGTTAGTATAAAGTTGGAGGGGGGACATTGGGTGTGTGTGTGTGAGGGACCATGGTGGATTCCATGGTAGGCGAGGGTGACAGGCAGAGGGACAAACACGCCAGGCTGGCAGAGTTTAAGTGAGAAAGGGAAGGAGGGCGAAGGAAAGAGAGAAGAGGTAAAGAGACACAGAGACAGAGGACAGAAGAGAAGAGGGAGACAGGAAAAGTCCTGTCTGCCCCAGGGAAACAGCAGGAAGGAGAGAGCGGGGAGGGCAGGAAGAGAGCAGAATGAGAAGAGAGTAGAGAGAGAAGAGCCTGAAAGAGCAAAAAGAGCATAAATGGGCAAAGGGCTTTCTTTTAAAGGGGTCCTTTGCACCTGTGTGCACCCTAGTACTCATGGAACCCTGACCAGAGTACAGCCTGAGTGCACTTTGCCAGGTGACAGGGACAGGCAAGCATAATGCCTGAGTCCTTACATTCCCACCTTTACTATTAAAATGGTGAGGAGTTAGGTGTGGCAGGTTAGGGAAATTAGGACGTTGAGTTCTCAAGACTACTTCCTGCTGACCTGGGGGGGGTTGAGCATCTTTGGGGAACCTGAGAATGCTGGGGTCCTGCCACATCCTGGGATAGCTGGTTGTTTCATCGCAGTTCAGTCTATATGGAACGCTCTGGAGCCTCTTTAGACCTGGCAAGATGTTGGCGGAGCAGAGGACAAGTTTAAGTTTAGGAAAAAAAATTTCTTAGGACCTGGTACTTGAGGGGAAGAGGATCAAAAGATGAGGAGGGGTTCCAAGATAAGGGAAGGGAGTCCCGGGACCAAGGAAAGGTTGAATATTTACCTGGAGTGAATCTGACCTGTTTTGGGTGGGTCCAATTCGGCTCCCTGGAACTTATAAGAATCCTTTGAGTTTGTGAAAACATAAATTTTAGATACATTAGAATACTCATGTTAGAAATGATTTGGTCATAACCATTAACATTCTTAAAACTGACAGATATCTTTAACACAGTTAATTTTGAGCTTGTAGTTATGATCATAGAGTGGTAGAGTGTGATGTTTAGTATTCTGTCAGTTGGATTAGTAGCTTATCAGAACTTTATTGATTAATGTTAAGACTATGAGCAGTAGCATAATGAGAAAGAAATCTGATAACTTGCATTTCTATACCTTAAGTTACTTTGTTATACCTTAAAACATTTTTTAAACAAAGGAATGGTAAATATGAGTTACACTGAAACCTACCAGCCATCAACCTGCATCAGAGTTCTTGAGAAGGATAAAGTTTTACCTGAATTAATGATTAGAGAACAGAGACTTCCTAGCTAGCCACATGGACCTCCATAGTTGTTGAGGTCAGAGGCTTTAAGGACACCTGTCTTCTGCTGATAGCATAGGACTTGTGGATTAGGAGCTTTAGGAAGACTTGCCTACTGTTGGCCCAAGCAATGTGGAGAAAGTTGATTCCACCATCTTCTTGACCATGGTTCAAAGAGTCCTTTGCCGCAGTTGAGTGAAAGGCACTAGCATTACCACTTTTGTGGGTGGAGTTTCTTCAGTGTTCAGTCTTCTTGGAGGAAGTGGGATGGTGCCAGCAGATGGCCTGTCTCTCTGTTATTAAAAAACTTTTCAATAAAACATTTAAAATGCCATATTCTCTAGATCTCTGAGAATTTGAGGACTACCTGTATATTTAGTATATCTCAGCAGACAAAATTTGTCTTTAGTTACTTGTCTTAAGCACTTAGGTGGCTAGGTAAGGATTTAACACTGTAATTAATTAATCTGTACTTTGTATGGTTACAATGACATTAAGATAGAATCTATCTGGAGAACTGGATCCAAGCTGAGAGACTGTGGAGGGATGTTTTACTCAGATACCTCCAGCCTGAGTGTAACTGGTTTTAACTTAGTAGGTTAGATTTATGCCTATAAAGGACAAAGTAGTAGAGAAAAATCCCATTAATAGAAGCTTAATCTTTGTAAATAGCTTACAGGATGGACTGGGTGGTGTAAATATTCTGTTGATTTGAAATAGACCTTTATAACCTTAAATGGTTAGCATCACTTAAAGACATAACAATTTAGAAATATTTGAGACAGCACAGTTAAATTTAAGTTGCATATAGAGTTAGCTTACACTCGCATATATAAAGTTAAATTTAAATCACTTGTACAGACATACAGAGATATATTAAACAAGACTGGGTAAAGGTAAGAAGAATGGGAGAACAAGAGTGTCATCTCTGATCTGTACTTTTAGTGAACATACAGGACATTTAAAGACACAGAGTAGACTTAAAACTTCCAGTGACAAGAAAGCAGATCCACTGCAGATGGAACAGGCAAAGGTTTTTGTTCGTCTGTTTGTTTTTGCTTTTTTGTTTTCTGCGTGAAATGTACCCTACCAGGCTCTGGAAAGGCAAACCATTACACAAACAAGCCATGCGCAACAGAGCCAGTGAAAGAAGAAATTAGAGACAAACAATAAAAGGCAAAAAAGTAAATGAACTATGTCTGACAGCAGGGTTTGTCAGCAAAAACTAGCTAGACTGTTCCTCTGCCTAGACTGAGGGAGGGGAGTGGGTAGGCCTACATGGTCGAGATGGCAGGGGTCATAAACACATTCCTGTCCAGCAGAGGTTAGAAAGTTTTGAGATATAATCTTGTTGGCTTTTTTTCTCCACGAGTGAGGCAGAAAGGTGTGTGAAACCAACAGGACATCAGAGTCCAAGGGGCACAACACCCAAAAAGACCACCGTAGGTCTGAGAAATGAATGCACGGGACAGTATTGACTATGCTAGGATGCAAAACCCAAAAACCTCATTCGTGGGGAGGAAAGATGAAAAGTGAAAAACTCTCAGAGAGTCCTGAGCAGATGCCATCTCAAGCCAACCCACTGTGAACCCCTGGCATCTGCACAGAGAAGAAACAGGAAGTGAAACAGGGCGTTCCCAGGTGGAAGGAAGATCCTGCCCTAAGAAAGGGTTAGCCATGATGGGAAGCGGCAGGGAGAGTTTTAGCATGCCAGGAAGAGGAGGGAAACAGACAAATGAAAAAGAGCAGAGGCCACACTTCTTCCAACTAGGATCACTGGAGAATATAGGGTGCCAATAAGCATGTATATGGTTTGATATGGGGCGCTCAGCTCCCATGAGAGAGGTAGAGAAGATCCAAAGCCTATAATCTCCATTGTCCCATAGACTAAGGGAGGATCAGATACAATAGGCACAAGCTGATTTTGTGGTCCCTCAATCACAAATCAGGGACCAAGGGCTCCCAGAGCCTGAGAGACATTTGGTCACCCAGCACTGGGATTTTCACTGGGTCAAAAAGGCTAAAGATCCCAGTCTCAATATGAGTCCTAACTCATGGAAACATGGGCCAAGGTAGAGAACGAGGGGTGGACTTACCAGACATAGCAGTGGTGAATGGAAGAATCCAGAGGTCCTTAGCTGGAAAAGTGACTGAGTTGAAGGCTACAGGGTCCTGGCATATTTCAGACTCCCACGGGCAGGAGCAAATGTCAGGAAAACCTGCCGAGTTACATGCACCAACGTTAGCAAAATGTTGGCATTTCCTCCAGGAAGACTGGACACTGAAGAAACTCCACCTGAAACTTGCTTCATAAATGGCAGCTGTAGCCATGGAGAAATTCTGCCTTTCATCTAGGGGATGGCCGTTCATGCGGTCAGCTAGTAAGTCCTTGTTCTCTAATCATTAACTCAGGTAAAATTTTATCGTTCTCAAGAACTCTGATGCTTTTGACCACTGGTAGCTTTGCCAACTTAAAAGTGCCTCCAAGGCTTCAACTGTTACAAAACAGATTTCAAGAACAGATACTTTAGGGTTTATCTATGTGAAGATAGAAAGTGTAAGGTGTGTGAAGGTCTGATGACAAATGCAAGCTATGAAGGTCTGAGGACGGAAAGATCTAAGATGGTAACATTGGGACTATGAATTCAAGTTATGAATGTCTGAGGATAAAAAGACTTGAGTGATGATTAAAAAAAAGTGATTGAGACATTCAAATGAATGAAACATGTTCCAGATTTCTCTCTCTCATTATGCTGCTACTGTTCATAGTCTTAAATTAACCAATAAAGTTTTAATGAGCTAATCCAACTCTGACAGTACTAAATACCACACTATACCACTATACGATCATAACTTCAAGTTCAAAATTAAGGTGCTTTTCATTGTGATAAAGTTATCTGTCAGTTTTAAGAGCGTTAATGGTTTCAACCAATTCATTTCTGATATTAGTGTACACACACACACACACACACACACACACACACACACACACACACACACCATAACTTCTCTTCTGCATTCATTCAGTCTCCTTGACTTGGGGTAGATGAAATGTGTTACAGTGAGATTTCCCTTAAATAATTCAGCAAAACTATAAACCCCACAAGGATAGAGGAGTCTGTTTCTTGTGAGGAGTAGAGGATCTGAACACAGTATGGCCAAATAAATATTAGAAGAGTAATTGTCCTTTTATTTTTCCCTTCCTTTCTCCTTCCTTGCATCTTCCCCTCTTTCCTTCCTTCCTTCCTTCCTTCCTTCCTTCCTTCCTTCCTTCCTTCCTTCCTTCCTTCCTTTCTTCTTCTTTCCTTCCTTCCTTCCTTTCTTCTTCTTTCCTTCCTTCCTTCCTTCCTTCCTTCCTTTCTTCTTCTTTCCTTCCTTCCTTCCTTCCTTTCTTCTTCTTTCCTTCCTTCCTTCCTTCCTTCCTTCCTTCCTTCCTTCCTTCCTTCCTTCCTTCCTTCCTTCTTTTCTTCTTTTCTCTCCCCCTTGTCCCAGTGCTGGGAACCATGATGAACTGGACATGTGAGAACTCTACCACCAAGCTATATCCTAAGCCTGGAAAGAATTCATTTTATTAATTTTTTTGGTTTCCATGGTCTTCATCATGACAGTTATTAATAATCAAATTCTTAGACTAAGGTCAGGACAGCTGAACTGTCTAGTACAACTTAAAAGGAATATCCACATATAAATTTGCATCCTGGAGTACTGGAGATTAGAACCAGGTCTTCTTTTCTTTTCTTTTCTTTTCTTTTCTTTTCTTTTCTTTCTCTCTTTTTTTTCCAGACAGGGTTTTTCTCTGTGGCTTTGGAGCCTGTCCTGGCACTCACTCTGTAGACCGGGCTGGCCTTGAACTCACATAAATCTGCCTGCCTCTGCCTCCTGAGTGCTGGGATTAAAGGAATGCACCACCAGAAAGTTTTCTTAAACACTAATCTTTTTTTTTCTGTAGTACAGAGATTTGTAATTTGTGTGTCTGGAATCATGAGTGTAAGTTTTCATTTGTTTGTTTTTTAAGCTTCATGGCCCTCTAAGATACGAAAATCTTCAGTTCTCAGAACTACCACCCTGGGAAATGCTAATTTACATCTCTGGGACTCTAACTGGGAGGATGCACTCTTTAGGGTTTGTTTGCATTTGGAGGGTTATAATGAAGCACTATCCTTTCGAGTCCTCAGTCATAAGCATTTACCCTTGACTTTCTTTACTACTAGGGGATTACCTGTCAGTTATCATGAAAAACCGTGCAATTTATTTCACACTAAAAGTAGAATTCAAGCTATGTGGTTTGGCTGGAAATGAATTTAAGAATCTCACTGGAGTTCAGCTAAATATTTATTTAGCCCAATGGCTTGCCTAGCATTTGTCTATGCCTTTGAAGTGTCAAGCCCTCAGTCAGATCTTGAAAGTTAGCTATAGTCAATTACTAGAATGGAATTATCTGCCTTTGCAAAACTTTCACAGGGGACATTGTCCCTTGACTAAATTTCCTTGACTCTAGTGTCTGTGTAGCTATGCCCATTGGCTGAGATGAGTTAATGTGAATAGCAGAATTGATAGAAAGGTGCTTTATTCACTATTACACATTGCCTACTGTCAGGCTGAGAGACCAAGAGCCAGACAGACTTCCTGGTGGGTAGACAGATATGGAGAGAGTCCACGATTAGGTAAGAAAGGCGGAGAATTTCCAAGGTGGCCAGCTTCTTCCTCAACTTCCTAACTTGAGACAAAAGTCCGGCAACTTTTGTCTCAGGCCAGCAGGTTCCAGCCTGGATCAGGATAAGTCACACAATGGTGGCAGAGCGACCATTCTGCCTGTCTTTGAACTGATGAACCCTGAATTAGGTGTTTGCTCACCCCCACTAAATGCCTTTAGTGATAATTTTGTCTGTGGAAACAATTCTCTAACACTGCCTTTGTGCTGGAGGATTTTCCTGCCGTTTAATTCTTTAACTGGCAGAGAAAAACTAACCCAGTCAAGAATCCTAGACTGTGTCATCATTTCTAGACTGTATCATTTCAGGGGCTTGTCTGGGATTTCTTTTGTAGACTGTATCAAGGTCTCTGGGATTAGACCTCCAGCCTTCACCTACCTAGTGTCAGGAGGCCTCTAACATTCTGAACGGGAACTCCCTGTCCACTCAAAACAGTCCTATCCAGAGCCCAGAGTGGAAGCATTTCAATTTTCATGTTTGTCTCTTGGCAGTGACTGCCAGAACACTGCTCAAATGTTCCTTGCACACTTTTATGTTGTTCATACATAGATGGTTCCATTCCTGGTTGGCAGGTGAGGGGAAACAACCTTAAAACTTGTTTGCTTGCTTCACTGACTTCCCTTTGGCATTTTCCAATGAGTCATCCTTGGCTGTAAGGACACTTGGATGCTGGGCATTTGTCTGAGCCAACGAAGGTGAGCAGGAGTTGGGACCAGGAGGCTATTCAGGGGTTGGCAAAGACACAAGTATAAGTGCAACAGTGGAACAAGATGTCTTCCAAGTCAGAATCTGGCCACAGTCCTTGGGGCTCTTCTTTTAGTGTCGAGTTGGGTTTTTTAAGGTCAAGGAATGTCAATAACAATAAAATTTGATGTGCTTTATAAAAATGCCTTCAGCTATAGCAAATAAATGCAACCATTGTGGAAAAATGCCATGCTCATAAATAGGAGAGAAGTCAAATAAGATATGCACTTCAAGTGCGAAAATCATCCAGCTCCTTAAAATAATGAGGTAGATTTGTTTGCGCTGGGAGAGAATGATCTCTAAGGCCTATTAGTAAGTGGAAAAGTCATACATCAAATCAACACTCGGTAAGAGCTCAACAGAGCAACATTTCCCATGTTATTGATCTTTAAAAATGATGTGCATGTTACCCATGCAATTAAAAATAGAGGAAAATGTGTGAAAATGAAATATTTCGCATTCATGCAGAAAGGCAAAATTAGCCTTGTAGTTGAACTGTAGCACCTGAGCCTTGGTGGGGTCTGAGCACCCTTTCAGGTGCTGGATACCATTAGAGAATACTTCTCTGCCTCACATATTCTCTGCCTCCACAGAGGATTACGATTCTGATCATCTGTCATTTCACCCATCAATGCATAAATCCCAAGAAGACAGCAAAGCTTGCACAGTCCCACCAGCTGAGCTCCAGCGTCATTCTCTTGCTGGTTCTCATCAAAGATGCCTGTTATTGCTAAACAATTGGAGATTCAACTAAGAGATTCGATGCTTCAATGCATCCTGGCAAAGAAAGGTTATGCCCCGAGATTGTGATAAAGCCAAACATACATACCTCTGAGTTTATCTGCCATGTGAACTTTCTTAGGAAGGAAGAGCCTTAAAATAGAGTGATAGGAGCTTTCTCTTCCAGTTGAGAAGTTTTGCCCTGGATTTTGATGTATACAAATGATTTAAAATGCAATTTCCCCTTATCTGTTGTTAGGGACTTACATGCATCTAGGTTCAAAAACAAAAACCCACGCTTAGGATGCAGCTCAGTGGTACAGCACTTGCATAGGCATGCCTGACGCTTTGTGTTCATTCCCAGCACATGAGAACCCCCAAACCAAACCAGAATAAGCAACCAAAAGAGGATCCTCTCATATTTAATAATGGCAAACCTAACCTACTGGGGGTCTGCCGGACAGCGGCTTTGCCAGCCATAAATGCTTCCTAGTTCGTTGCTTTTGTGAAATGCAGCTCATTCTAGTTCCCCTGCAAGCCCGACCTCTACAGTGTTCATTGGGATTTCCTGGAGCTTCTTACTTGGGATTAGTCTGATTTTAGAAGGACACCACCTGAGTGGAGAGAGGAATAGTCTGGGTAAGCCTTCCTCCCTAGTTTGAGTTCTTGGAAATGATGTGCTCACAGAAAGTCAGGTTTGTGTGGGCTGGGCTCTGAGTAAATCTGAGTAGGAACTGTGTCAGGAAACTTGATCTGGTCTCATGATTTTCTGCTTCTCATGGGTGGAACTATGAGAGCCTCCCCATCTAACTGTGCATTAAACACCAGCAAGTTGCCTACTGTCTCTGTGCTCCAGAGTTTTCTCTGTAAAACCAGATCCTTGGCTTTGCTTGAGCTTGGAAGGTACAAAGAGCTCTGAGATTCAAGAATGTTCAACAGCCCAGAGGCCTTCCTCAAAGGGAAGGTCTCACGCTCCCCTTAGTTCTGAGCCAGTCCTGGCATATAAGGCCACAGGAATGAAAAAAGCAATATGGCTGCTTCTCACTTCAAGTGCCCAAAGAAGATGTGTTAACTGGAGAAAGAAGAGAGCTATGGCTGTCCTTTGATAGCCTCTCAGGACAGAGCATTAGGAGAGGTGAACCCACGGAATACAAGGTATTAGTCAGTGTGTTGGTTTTCAGGACAATGTCTCATTCTGAAGGTTCTAGAAACACAATTTATTGAATGAACATTTTCAGCTGGGGGGTTGTGAGAATAGCAACCATGCTTGCTGAATGGTGAATTTGAGGAGGAACATAAAAGGTCAACGTAGTAAACATAACACACTAATTAACACTTTCCTCCAATGCTAACTCCCCTTTCATTCTTCTATCATTCCTTTTATCAAAAAACGTCTTGTAAGTGGCTTTGAAGATAGACTCTTTCCCTTGAACTATAAAAAGACTTAACTATTTATATTTTTCATAATTTAACACCTCAGCAACGAGAAGCCAGAAACAATCATTTCTGCCTCTCTCAGGAGCAAAGCTTGTGGCTTTCTTGTTTCAGGGTGAGGGACAGAACACGCTAGCCTCTTGTATCTAGGCAGATACTCTATCATTAGCCCACAAATCTCCAGTTTCAAATCTGCATTTTTCTCGGGCTCACCCAAGCTTTCCCCATAATGTATAAAAACTTTATCTCAGTGACAGCATCGAGGTCATGTTTCTGCTAATAACTGGCCTCATACCTGTCTCTGAACCACACCGATCCATTTTTAGGCAAACACTTTTGATTAGCCTTCAGTTTTAGAATGCAGTAAGCATGCCATGTGCTAATTATAGCCAGTGACACCATAAAATAAAAGTGCAATACTGAATGCTTTCAATTTCTTATAATGATGGTAAGGTGGCATGTCATGGGGCCATTTTAGCCCCAGACATCACTCCAGAGAATTCCAAACAGATATAGACAAGTGCCACCAAACCCAGCTCCTTCCCCTTGGGCTGTTTAGCCACAGGAATAGGATGTCCTGAAGCAACACTTCCCCCAACTGGAGTGCTGATAAGTCCACTTATCAGAAAGATATTGTATTCCTGTGAGTGTGATGCACAGTGCTTGCATTTTCTTGATAGGCTAGTCATATGAAAGCTGGCAAAGAAGGAAAAAGGAGCAGCGGTGTGGTGCAATTCGAACAGACAGCTGTCCCTGGCTTCCCGATAAGTAGGATGACTCGCATTGCTGAGCTGTGCGGTCACTGCCAAAGGAATGGCCCTCTCACATTTCTTCCTGATTCGCACACACTGTGGCCAGCTTGTCATCTCCCCCCTCTTGGGCTTCCCAGACACTGAGTCTGGAATGAAAATTCACCTGCCTCTGAGTTGGCCATTGGTGGGGGCAGGGTGATACTTGACTTCCCAGGTTGGAAGATTATCTCACCCAGCCCTAACTATATAACCAGCTGGTGTGGAGGGCCTCAGCAGGGCCAACTCCAAGGGTTCATCCGCCGGAGAGGAAAACATACAGACTCACTGCTGCCAACATGATGGTGCTGAGAGTAGAGGAGTTGGTATGTAAGACATCTTTTTACCTGTCAATACCTGCTTCATCTTGGCTTTTATTTGAAAGTTCAGATGACCTTTCTTTTTCAGGCATAATGTAAGGGAAGTCTGCAAATGTCAAGTATGGAACAGGGTTTGTTTATGTGATGAAACAAGAGAAAGTGGAAAAAATAGCTGGCAGCAATGCATTTTCTGCATAGTTCTTGTTTGTTGTCTTCTCCTTGGGTTTCATTAGTATGGTATGCAATAATGTAGTTATCATGACTTGGGGTAAAAATTTTACTGCAAAAATAATTGTCTGGGCACTTTACACCTCAAGGCTGAAATGAAAGAATTAAAAAGTAAGTCAATTTAGTTAGTGAATTTCCTAAGAGAAAGTCGGTTATGTGGCTAAAAGTAAAGTTATGCGTGTCAATCTGACACATACCGTGTCTTATACTCTTGAGAGTAAGACAACACCCAAAGGTCATCCTGGGAGATCTGTAGTTAAGTCTCTAACAGCGCACTGCCTGAATGCGGTGGCCCTCAGGGAGGAAGGACTGAGGGCCTCCTGCAGCATCTTTTGTGGAGAGTGAGCCTAGGATGGACAGCACTGGTTCTGATGTCACCATCCCTGATGTCACCATCCTCCTCGCATGTAGGTAACAGGGAAGAAGAACAGCAGTGGGGCTACAGGGGAATTCCTCCCCGGGGACTTCAGAGACGGGGAATATGAAGCTGCCATTGCTTTGGAGAAACAAGAGGATTTGAAGACTCTTCCAGTCCACTGTGTGAACCCAGAGGAGCAACAATGGAAAAGTGAAAAACAGCGAGAGGCAGAGGTAAGGACCTTCCATAGACTCTACCAGTAGGAGACTGGAGTGTGGAAATCCCTTGAATAAGACAGGAGGAGAGAAGGAAAATAAATAAACCATTCTAAAGATGTCTCCTCACCAAACTTGAACCCACAAAGATGCAAAGAGTCAGTATACATGGAAGTGATTTGGGAAATGATTCTGAGATAAGACCATGACCTCTGGACTCTGAATCAATGATTTTATGTGCTATGGTCATGTCTTGATCAAAATACAGAAAGATAATCATAACTAGGGAAACCCCAATGGGACACACTGTTTACTTAATGTCAAGGTGAGATTTTTTTTCTTCTTGATAACATTAGTTATCATGGATCATAGTCAGAATCAATTTGCTGTATTTATTGATATTTACTTTTGTTGAAGTTTTATTGAAGTTTATAGCTTACTAACATAACAAGTGTGCTAGTTGGCAGTGGTCTCTGTTTCTGAGACTCTGAGCAGTGGGGGGTCACTTGAGAGAGAACATATCAATATTTGAGAACTTAATATGCATTTTCTTTCCTAGGTAAAACATACTTTAGTTTTTGAGAGTGAGAAAACAAATTCTATAGAAATCTGGGGCTTATAGTACTAATTACAAAACGATCACTGAGAGACTCCATTGTGTCTCCATCCAATTAGTCAAGAGCTAGTTCTACAAGCAAAGAAAGTAAATAAGACTTAGATTAAAAATTTGACCCCAGATACTTTAAAGAAAAAAATCACTGAAGTCAGACATTTACTTAAAAGTGTTTTAAATTTCCTTTATGAGCAAACCATTTACACACTTCCCTTAGACACCGCAGGTTTTGTTTATACACCACCAGCTCGAACTCTCGAACTCACTATCTTCTTCTTCTTCCTCCTCTTCTTCTTCCTCCTTCTCCTCCTTCTTCTTCTTCTCTCTCTCTCTCTCTAGATCAAAAAGAAAAAACTAGAACAAAGATCAAAGCTTGAAAACTTAGAAGACCTTGAAATAATCATTCAACTGAAGAAAAGAAAAAAATACAAGAAAGCTAAAGTTGCAGCTGTAAAGGAACCAGAACCTGAAATTATTGTAAGGACTGTTTGGTTTCCAGAACTGTACATCCATGTGGGTTGCAGGGGTGAATGCTGTGGAGGGGGAGACCACTGCAAAGCCCATGATCATTTTGTTTCTATTCTTTTCTTGTCTTTCCTTCCTTTCTCTTCAATCTCTCTCTGTTCTCTTAAACTTTCCCCTACACTTCTTTACCACCCCACATTCCTTCTCCTTCTTCCCCTTCTCCTTCTCCCTCCCCCCTCCTCTCCCCCTCCTCTTCCTCTCCCTCCTCCATCCTCACTACCTCACTTTAGACTGAACCTGTGGATGTGCCGAGGTTTCTGAAAGCCGCACTGGAGAACAAACTGCCTGTTGTAGAGAAATTCCTGTCCGACAAGAACAGCCCTGATGTCTGCGATGAGGTAAGACCCATGACTTCCTGTAGGCTGGCAAATACAGTCTGCGATGTCTTCCACTTAAAAGGTTCTCCAGCTGTTGCCACATCTGCCAGGAGCATAAAAATGAATGTATTGTTCTCCCCTACTAGGTTAGTATGATGAATTGCATAGTTTTTCTATTCCCATAATTCTGTCTGACATATATGAAGACAGTTTGTCTTTAACTTCTTAGATCCTTTGGCTAGACTTCCAGGCCAAAAAGTGTCTTCTGGAGAAAGGTGTTATTAGCAGTGCCTTTCATCAGACCCAGATAGCTCAGCATTAGAAGGGGAAGGTGGAATTCGCAGTCCAGCTCTGTCACTGCCTGATGGGAAGCAGCTCCAGTACATTGTCTTTGTCGCTGTTTATCTGTAAGCACAGTCTCATTCCGTTAGCCTACTGGCTCTTTAACACAAAGCCAATTGTCAGAAACCATGACTTCGCATTTCATCTCCCGTGAGCTGATGGGACGGCTCACACCAAAGCTGAGTTTCCTTTCTTTGAAAAATGAATTGAATGTTTATGTACATATGTATATCTCCAATCTAGCATCCATTCTGGATGGAAGAAAACTGTCTGCCTTACTTGGCATGTGCAAACACAAAAAGGGACCTTTCAGAATCAAGATGGGTTTTGAGGTTTGAAGTCCACATCTGCCTTCCTTGGCCTTTGGCACTTAGGAAGAGTCTAGGACAGGAAGCTCAGGTTCTAACTGCTAGACAATTATTCTAATCCTGCAATTTCAGTGAGCTCTGGCATTCTCATTCATAAAACAATCTTGGCCTTTCTATCACTTAGGTCATCATAGTCCCAGCTTCATAGCTCTTAAAGGATTATATGCATTTTTATATGCACCACTATCTCTTGTTTTTATCTTTGACAGTATAAACGGACTGCTCTCCATAGAGCATGCCTAGAAGGACACTTGGCAATTGTGGAGAAGTTAATGGAGGCTGGAGCCCAGATTGAATTCCGTGATATGGTAAATATATTTCTTTGCTTGGAAATGAGCCAAAATAAGCAGACCATCTGAAAAAAGCTCAGGAAAACGTACAATGAAAAACTGGCCCAATTGGATTGAAAATTGATCTGAGAAAACTAGTCAAAAGCTCATTTCTCCATACAAAAGGAAGCTGGGCAATGAGACGAGGTCATGTGGAAAGCATTTTCCAGACAGCCTGAGAAGGAAAGGAGCGTTGCAGAGAAGAGAAGGAAGTGAAAGTCTTTGGGCAGAATTCTGTAACCTCACCAGAGTTTGGGTCATTATCAAGTCGGTAGCATTCCTGGTCTTTCAGCACTGTACTCCTTCCCTTCCGTCAGACGGCACAGCCTGCTCCTGGCCCCTCGGCTGCCAGCAGCGCATGAGAATGTCCTAGCTGCATACTTCATATGATGGATGCCAATTGCCACCGATGAGATTGGGAGTCAGGCTGCATGCTAAATGAATCAGGTCTCAGGAAAGTGGCTGCTATTCAGACCCTAGCAATCAGTTGCTGTGATTTCCATAAAGACCAGTATACAATATATTTTATACCCTGAAGATTGAACTGGAAAATGCTTCATTTATTTATATGCAGCTCAATTTGACATTATGGTAAAATGGAAAAGGAATAAAAAAATTCCAAAGAACCTAGCCTGAATTGAATCAAAGAACAAAATACTGGGGGAAAAAAAAAGAAACTAATGATAATAAAGTTCCAATGAAGAGATGCCCAAACTCCCAAGTTTGGAATCTGGAAGTCCAGAGATGCACCAAACAAAGCAGAGAGGTGGCAGACTCTTCAAATTACAGTGCAGTGGCCACAGTGATTGACAGCTGAGGTCCCTAGGCTGTGCTAGTGTAAACAATAGCACAGAGCCAGCAGGAGATGGCCAGAGCAAGACAAGAAGATGGGATGAGGTGTTAGATCCATATTAAGATATTCTGGAGTGTAACCAGACATATTGAAAGCTTCCTAACTACAAATTCAGCCACTCACAGTTTAGCTGAACTGTTTAGCAAGAAACTTAGAAGTGGCTCTCAAGACCAAAAGTACCAAGAACCATCAGTTGTCCATATTCTCTGGACCTTTAAAACCAAAGACCAAACCCCCAGCCCCAACTAGATTCTCTTTCACACTCTCATCTTGTGTTTTTTTTTTCTTTCCCAAATAGCTTGAATCCACAGCCATCCACTGGGCATGTCGTGGAGGAAACGCAGATGTCCTGAAACTGTTGTTGAACAAAGGCGCCAGAATCAGTGCCCGAGACAAGGTATTTCCCTGCCCTTCCTTAGGCTTCTGCTCCCTGCCTGCTCACGGAGGTCCTCTGTCAGTCATTATTCTGTGCACACCTCAGCCACGCACACACCCTGTTTGCACGTGCCTTGAGGCCTCGGCACTGTCTGTTCTCACCCTTGCCTGTTTTCTAATGTTTTAGCTGCTCAGCACAGCGCTGCACGTGGCGGTGAGGACTGGTCACTACGAGTGCGCAGAGCACCTCATCGCCTGCGAGGCGGACCTCAATGCCAAGGACAGGGTGAGTAACTGACAGGGCTGAGTCACCATAAGCTTATTTGAAATTATTCAGGCAAGCTTGGGTACCCCAGCAGGGCCCACTTCCTGGCTTCATACCGTATCTGTTTATCCTGCTTCTAGGAAGGAGATACCCCACTGCATGATGCTGTGAGGCTGAATCGCTACAAGATGATTCGGCTTTTAATGACCTTTGGGGCAGACCTCAACGTCAAGAACTGTGTAAGTGGTCAAAGCCAGGGTACCACTGGTACTTTCAAATTCTCAGATATTTGAAAGTATTATTCCCATGGTAGTAAATTTTTGAGATACACTGATAGTTCAAATGTGTCTATTTCCATAAGGACAGGGTGAGAGGTGGCAAGACTCGGGTCATAGAATCAGACACAGGGAAACTAGAACTTCTCTGACCTTGGAGCCTAATAGTTCTTTGAAAGATTGATCTTGAATAAAAGATGGCCAAAATTATCACCTTTAAAATATACATTGTGGGGCTGGAGAGATGGCTCCGTGGTTCAATTCCCAGCAACCACAAGGTGTTTCACAACCAACTATAATGGATCCAATGCCCTCCTCTGGCTTGCAGGCATGCATACAGACATAGCACTCATATACATAAAGTACGTAAATAAACAAATCTTAAAAAATGAAAATAAGAACCACATTGGATAATTCCAACCTGCCCTTGTCATTCCTGACTAAATAGAGCCTGGAGTAGGAGCGAATGAATACACCCACCTTTCTCGAAATAGTTTCAATTTACACAGAGACTGAAACTAATCAATATCCAATCTGGGGAATTCCAAATAGCCCCTCTTTTCCTACGACACTGTAAAATGTTGCCATTCTCCCAGGGTCCCTATAGTTTTCTGATTCATTCTCTACTTTATATGCCTGTGTCTTGAAATAATTTTCTACATTAGGTCCCAAGAATTCCTACGTAAGTACATGTGTACACAAGTACATCTGTACGTGGCCAATGTAAGCAACTTACCTTCATGGTTACAATCTCCAGACAAACATCATCTACCATAGCTTAAAGAAGATCCGCAGGAGAAATAGTGATAAATCACCAAAGAAATGCTCTTGAGGGTTTTGGAGAATTGTTACAGGAGAAGATCTTCTTGAGGCAAATGGCCACTTCCTCTTCTTGTGTTACTGTGAGGATGAAGGGATAATTAAAAAGGAAGCTGAGTGTGCCCCACATCCCAGCACGTGGAAGAGGCTAGCTTGGGCTACATGGAGTGGGAACCTGACCTGGTGACAAGAAGAAAGAATGGTGGTTAGTGGTTAGATGGAGCCTGCTTGACTTGGGAAATGTTAGTAGTAGGGTCCCCTGTGCTAGGTATCGGGATTGGTGGCACCCAATATTTTCTCTCTTTAAAAAATGAGTCTAAAATGCATTCAAGGCAATCTTCAAAGATGCAGAAGTGTTTATTTACTTATTTTTACAAACCATGAAAGACTACAAGCAGAAATGAATGATATTATGTAGTCACTAGGGCCATGTAGGTCACATAAATGACATCAGTAAGTGGCCATCATGGTCTGTGCAGGTTATTTGATGGTGACTCTTCTCCAATCTAGTTCTATGAAATCAGAAGTCTTTCCTGATTTTTTTTTTTGTAAAAGACATAAATTCACAAGGAAAATCTTTTGATTCTTCCTCTCCCCCCCACCTTAACCTGAGTGATTAACATATCAAAGCTGCCAGTCTACAACTTCTGGGATCAAGAGTACTTCTGAGCTGAATATAGAGAGTAACACTTAGGACTTCTCATATCTAAAGAAAATAATTGAGAAGTGCTGTGGTTTTAATATGTGTAAATATGAGACATGTACATAAGGGAATGAAAAATTATTTATTTACATGTCACTGACATCAATTTAAAAGAAAGTACATTTTTTTTTTGAGAAGTCCTGATGAAAATTCTGAGAAGTTGTGAAGAACCTACAGAGCAGTCAGCAGCCAGGCAGCAACTGGCTGGTCACCCATGGCTTGGTGGCAGTATACTTACTATCAGGAGGCACTGAATAATGCCTCGTCAGAGCCCTTCAGCAAGGTCCTAGAAATACCTACATACATGCTTTAATTTCACAATGATCTGAGGATCTTTGTTACTTTAGTGCCTAAGGACCAGGTTTTGTTTTTTACCAATACCTGGGACAGATCTGTGAGTGGTGGAAGGAGAAGCCAAAAAAAAAAAAAACCAAAAACCAAAAACCCCCCCCCCCAAAAAAACCAAACCAAAACAACAACCCAGCATGATAAGATAGTTTGAACAAACAGTAGATCGTTCATAGTAAAAGCATGTACTTTGATAATATACCTCATCAACGTAGATACAGAGAGTATGAACTGACAGGTGCCCCCCACCTAGAGCTCAAAGTTCCCCCTTTTTCTGTGTAGGCTGGGAAGACCCCCATGGACCTGGTCCTGCACTGGCAGAATGGAACAAAAGCAATATTCGACAGTCTCAAAGAGAATGGCTACAAAACCTCTCGCATAGCTACATTCTAAGGAAGGAGACTATCTACAGGAGCTGTTCACAGGCATTTCCGAAGCACTGCCTACCAGAAGAGCAAGCAGCTACAAAACCCAGCTTTTGTCCGCCAGAGGGTAGGGAGATAGACTTAAAGTCGCTGTAAGAAAGTGCTGGGTTGGTTATAGGTGTCAAAATCTCACCATTGTATTTATTCCTATTTATTTATTTATTTCCTAACACTGGTATTCAGCCTTTCACGAGCATTTTTTGGGGGCAGTAAAACTTAATCTGTATGCAACATTCAGCGTCTTCCCATAGATCTTACACCTTGTGGATGAATGGCGTCTAATTGCATACTTTTGCCCTGGGTCACATAGAAGCTATTGAAGGTATTTTGAAATGTCGAGGGTGCTTCTTGCAGCTCTCTTCTGAATCCTTACGGCTGCTATCTGAATGAGCAACAGAAGGCATGTGGTGATGGGGAAAAGAACGGAAGCCATTATGCATGACAGACGCTGAAGCCCGCCCTTCACCCATAGGTTTGATTTGGCTGGTTGGTTACCAAGTCACAGGATGTCCCAAGGTGAAGAGAGTTCTGGGTGTAAGTGCAGGGAGGCAGAGGAGGGGGTGGGCAGTAGGGCCATGATAAACTGAGCTTGATGAAATAAAGGCAGAAGGAAAGACACTGTAAATGTGTAAATGTATATTGTGTTGTATGTATATTTTATATTCATAATAAATGCAAACAGACTCTAGACCATGTTTTAAGTTCTTTGTTGGTGCTGAGGTAGGAATTTCTCATGTAAGAAAAGTCATTTAGGAAGATGCTTATTTATCAGCGTTCGCCAGCCTTTTCACATTAGAAGTATCTAGGGATTTGGGAAGATGGCTCAGTGGTTAATAGACCTTGCTGTTTTTGCAGAGGACCTGAGTTCGGTTCCCAGCATCACATGATGGTTCACAGCCATCCATAAAGCCAGTCCTAGGGCATCAGATGCTCTCTTCAGACCTCCACAGGAACCAGGCATGCACACGGTACACATACATGCATGCGGCCAAACACTCATACACATTAACATAAAAAAATTAAAAGCAATAAAAAATGAGGGAGGAGGAGGGGAGGGGAAAAAAAAGAAAAGAAATACCCCTTAGAAACCAGTCTTCATACTTAATATGATGACAGGTCACTCAGGTATCTTGATAAACTGAAGAATTGCCCTCGGTTGGTCTCAGGTGAGGCCTGGGAATCTGCATTTCTTACCAGCTCCTGCCTTATCTGGTAGGAGGCAGAGGAGAAAGAGAGAGAGAGAGGGAGGGAGGGAGGGAGGGAGGGAGGGAGGGAGGGAGGGAGGGAGGGAGGCAGGGAGGGAGGGAGACGGGAGGGAGGGAAGGGAAAGCCATTGTTTCTTTCCAATGGTGTGGAAAAGAGACCTCTGGTGGAAAGAATGGTTACTGCAGGTTAAACAAGCACTTCTTGAGTTCTCATCAGGGCTTGACTCACTAATTAGGGGCTTATCCATCATTGTATTGTGGACAGGCGTTGACAGGTTCAAAGGCCTTCTATGAGACAACATTCTGGGTCAATGACTTTTGACCTCCAATGGGAAAAGTTTTGTTGCCAATGCTGAGTGAGGCTAGAAAGACCTCTGGTGAGAAAAACCGATCATCCTGGCCCCACAGGGACAGATACTTACTGAAGAAATAAGTAGAAATAAATAGATAGTATCAGTCCATTTTAGGTCCAATGAAGGGAGATTCTAGAGTGCTCTATTAGTGTCTAAAATGTGGAAGTCCATATGTGATGGAGATAGGGGTTTTAGGACTTCTTGGAGGTGTCAAGCTTGAGGGAGATTCTGAATGATGAATTCAAGCCTAAAGTTCTGCAGGCAGCAGGAGAGAGTGGATAAGCTCAAGGGTGTGGGCAATGTTTGGAAATCGGAGATATGAGGAAGACTCATGTCAAACCCCAGCACTGTGCTCCCCTGACACTCAAACCGAGCAGGACTGCATATATCAACCTCTTACACGTGCCTCTACCACTCTGTGGGAGAGTACAGGAAGTCTGTAACCAAGACATCTTCCAATCATTCAGTCATGGACGCACATGGAGTCGTGAGGATGATCTGAAATGCTATTGGCTCCTTCCATCTGTCTTCTTACCAACCCACAAAGCTCCTCTCTCACATGGAGACTGAGTGGCAGATTCATTCTCTCAGTTCTCTCCGAATCATTTGTTACCCTTGCCTTCCCCATAGCATCCTGGGTCATCTGGTCAGAACTCCAAGGCAATGGTTCTCAACCTTCCCAATGCTGCAACCCTTTAACACAGTTCATGTTGTGATGAACCCAGCCATAAAATTATTTTCATTGCTGCTTTATAACTGTAAGTTTACTACTGTTATGAATCATAATGTAAACATCCATGTTTTCTGATGATCTTCAGTGACCCCCATGAAAGGGTCCAGAGTGGTCTTGACCTACAGGTTGAGAACCAGTGATCTAAGCTATGAGATCCAGATCATGTTTCTCTTGCTCATGCTGACATTTGACAGGTATTACTTGGATACATTAGTCTGTGACCAAAGTGTCTTATCTGGGCTTCTTTGACCACAAGAGCTGGGGGGTTAAAAAGAGAAAAGAGTTCAGAGTAAGGTTTGCATTGCCCCATTTAAATATTTGTACTAATAAAGAAATGGCAGGCACAAGAGACTGCATAGATGGGGAGCAGCTCTGGTTCTATCTTTGGGAGTGGGAAAGAGAGATACGGAAGGGGGAATTCCATTTCTATCACACTGTCTTTAGAAGCTCCTGTCTGCCTCCTGAACTGGCTCTGCTTAAGGTCTTTTGTCTCTTGTTCCCTTTCTCCCTGAAGGGCACACTGCAATGGCCGATGGAGAGTTCTGGAAGTTGTTCTTCACTTCATTTTCACTCAGCCCTAAGTGACCAAGTCTTATCAAACATGCTGACATCTTGTGAAATCGGTGGCCTCCTATCTAGGCCTGCAAGATCAGGGTTAGTCAATCACCCTTCCTGCCTCCTGGCCTCCAGGTTTGCTTACCACTCCCTTTCTTAAAAGATTTAGTTATTGATGAGTATTTGTGGGGGTGTACCTGTGTACCATGCGTGTGCCAGAGCCCACAGAAGCCAGAAGAGGCTGTGGGATCCCCTGGAACTGGAGTTTCAAGATGTTTGAGTCACCCTAAGTGGGTGCTGGGGACTGAATCCAGGTTCCCTGGAAGTGAAGCTGAGGCCCTCTCCAGCCCTATGCCCTACTCTGTTGTTTTAGGTGCAGCCAGAAGTTTCCTAAAATGCAGATCTGATCCAATTAGTCTCCTCTTTCAAACCTTTCATTGGTGTCACATTTCTCTTGGGATCAAATGCAAACTCTTTAAAATGTGGCTGCTGCTAGTCTGTATTATGCTTAGTGCTGGGGTTTAAACCCAAGGCCTCACGCACACAGGCAAAATGCCCCAAGCCTGAGTTGTATTGCCCCCACCCCATCCCTGCCTATTGTTTTTGTTGCTTTTTTTGAGGCAAGATCTCCCTAAATTGTCCAAGATGGCCTTGAACTGTAGTCTAGGCAATTCATGAACTTGTGACCCTCTCCACTTGGTCTCCTGAGTGGCTTGGATTACAGATCTGTGCCTCCAGACAACTTCCAGAGTACAAGGAATATATAGGATTGTGGAGCCTGGTGGACAAGTCCTAATTTGCATTAAGTGGCCTGGTCCTATCATTGTGGTAGTAGTGCTCTATAGCAGAGGTCCTAGCCAAGTCTTAGTTGCCATATGTGCAGTAGGGGAGGCTTATAGCAGGAATCTGTGCCAAGAGTCAAGCTAAAGATAAATCAGACATCTGGCTTAGAGACAGCTTTCAGATGAGGGTCAGTCCTCCAGGCCCCAGGATGTTATTCAGATTAGGGTAGGTAGAGAGCAGGGAGTTTCAATGAGGAGGGAGGGAGTCTCCATGTCATTTAGCTTTTGAAAAAAACTGCCAGACCATGATAGACCCCAACCTCTAACCAGCCAGCAAGGCCTTCCAACATATAGCTCTGTGGTACAATAAGGCCAGAGATGGCGATAATTTCAGTAGTTGTTTTAGCTAGTGTGTGTGTGTGTTTCAATATAAATTGAATAGTAGATATTGCTATTGGATTATTCTCTTTTCCTTTCATTTCTCATATTAATGTGGTAAATTATAATGCATTAAAAAGAACCGATATATCCTGATTTTTAATACTGAGACATGCTTAGACTCCTGGACTAGAGCATTGCAATCTTACTGATTAACTTTCTGCTAAGTTTGCTCTGCGCACTGTGTCCATGGGACTGGAGTCAAGCACTCTTCTAAGCACTCACAGCCTCACCTTCAGAACAGCGCTCTTCTTTTTTCTTCCAGTTAACTGCACTGTCTTGGAGATCCTTGTATCAATAGGGTATAAATGCGGATATTTACAAAATAACAACTTCTACTCAGTCTGGTAAATTTGTTATTAAAAAGAAATTATTTCCAAAGGACTTTTTTTTTGGAGTCAAATGCTTTGAACTGTACTGCAATTAGGAAAATTACTATTAGGTGTTGAGTTTCTAACTAACAGGAGGAATACATTTCAAGCACAGCTCGAAGGCAGAAGACAGTAAATGAGTGAGACAATTTCATGTGAGTGTCCCTTCTGTTTCTACGAAGAACTTTAACTCAATAAGTAAAAGTGTCCCCCATAATAGGGTTTAAATCTTCAAAATAACTGTTTTGGATAGTAAAATACAAAACCCTGTATGTATCAAGTAGAAAATGTCTTCAATGTCTTCAAATACTAAGGCATCTTACTTTGGTGTACCTACTGTTACTCATTACTCACATAAGGATAAAATAGTTTTTTTCTTTAAGTATATCTAAATGAATTAAACTGTTAGTCTTCAGAGAACACCTCTCTGGGTTTTATTTGCTGTTTTAACGGTCTGAATATAAAGCTGTTTTTACAGACTGCTAGTTTCTGGCTTTAGTGAAATACCAACTCAACAGAAGTTCACTTCCACTGTGACTGATGAGCTGTAAAGGGAGGAGCCGGCTGATGGAGACCGAGACCTTCTCAGCCCTCACATTTCGCTTTCTTGTAAGCTGGGAGACAGTCATCATCTACTTCTGATGGTCGAGGTTTCTTCACTGTAGAAATAATCCCAAAAGCAGTTTTCCTAGTTTCTGTAAAACAGAAACGACATTGAGTGAAGAGATAGGATCTCACTATGAAGCCCAGGCTGGCCTTGAACTCCTTCCACAGTCCAACCAACTCTGACCCTCCTGCCTTAGCCTCCTGAGAGCTGGGATTGCAGGCACGCATCCCTATACCTGGTGTAAGATACAATTTAAAGAGACATGGTTTAACCAGCATCACCCCATTTCTTTGGCCTATAGCACGAAAATAAGAGAACCATAGAGAGCTCTTACAAGTGCTGATGCCACTTATGGTCACTATCTTTTCCCAACATGCACTAAGGGCAGCAGTTTTAACATCCAGTCCATTCCTAAGGATTACCTCTTAGGTTAAACTGCAGAGCAGGGCTTCTCCATTGCTCTCTCCATGGCATCTTATGCAGTCAGAACCAGCCATAGGCACCGGTCTAGCAACTGCTTTATGTGTGGTAAAAAGACGGACAAATCACAGGCACAGATGTGGGAGTCACTTGTACTGCTCCCAACAGCAAGGGCTGTGCTGACCTCATGTTATAGCACATGCCATCGCTCTCAGTAGATTATG